CGATTCCTTCGCTTTATTTTATATACCGTTATTGTCGACACTGCTTTATGTAGAAAATGTTGTATGAAATGTAATATTTGATAAGAACGTGCATACATCCATACATAGCCATTCAAGCTCTCTAGCTTCCACATGCTTACATACATATGTACAACCTTAATATCACTCATACGCCGTGTTTACCTTAATCGATTTATGAGTGTAGTAGTACTTCGTAGTAGCTTTATTAGATTATCAGTAAAATGGCAAGCCACAATCAACAATTACTAAACGAAAATACATACCGCCACCCGCTTTTCCAGCAATGTTGTTGACCCAGTTTTGCCCAGCATTAGGTACACCTTGCGGCTATCGACTTGCGAGGGTGGTGCCGGTGACACTCGTCTATTAACCGAGATGTACTTAACAAGCAAACGACGACTAAATCGTCTAAATATATTTTTATACTATAGTAGTACGTATGTTTATGGATGTGGATAAGTGCATGTTAGAGTATGCGCATATGTGATGAGTTGGAGTATGCTGCCTGTTCTATGATAAAGTACACATCATTAAAAGTACAGGGTGTATAAAACTACTAATGAACCCGCATGGCGTTAAAACGCCCAAAATTGTATTTCAAAAACTTAAAAAATATTCCAAATTTTTAGTCAGATTTATAAGAGATCCGAGTGCCATATTTCAGCAAAATCGTTTCAGAGTGAAGAGCAGTCTCGCATAGTGCATGTTTTAATTTGCATCGCTTCGTTAAAACAAATGGCAACCTTCCTAAGTAAGGGTCAGGAATAAATCCCTTTCAAACCCATTTCAATTTATACCCATCTTTTAGTTATTCATTCAACTTACTGAATAATTTGAATGTAACTTTTTAAATATGTGGCAACTCTCTTCAAACGTTCGAAGTGTTCAAACTAAAGATTTCTTACCATTCTTTCGTTTGAATTAGGTATTTTTATATTTCATATACTTTTTGTATTAGTTAATTGAGTTAGACCTTTCAAACAGGTGGCAGCCCTCTTCAAAAGTATTTTCAATGTCAATTCTCCTTGGCCGGACACTTCGATACATATTCTAATTAGCTGATGAATTAAGTAGAATTTTAATTTTCAAACATGTGGCAACCCCGCTAAATACAGTTCAGAAATAAAAATTTTTTTCAAACCCCCTTCGATTGAAACCCATATTTTAATAATTCCCTTAACTTATAAAATAATTTGAATTTAACTTTTAAAAAAGTATTCTTGGCGTTGAAACTAGAGATTTCTTAACACTCTTTCGTTTGACGTCCATATTTAGATATTTTTGAGTATTATTGAGTATAAATTAACTAAATTCGCCATTTCAAGCAGGTTGCAATCCTCTGAAAATATTTTCAAACTACCACTTTGGCACCCATATGGTATAAAAAAAAATATTTTTTTAACAAAAAAATTACTAACCGACTTCTAAAAAATTAGTACATATCGTTGTAAAGTTAGAAGGGCGAAATTCGAGGATGTCGTAGTTTACATACTAGTCTTTGTTATATAATTTTTTTTCAAAAATAAATATTGGAAATTTCCAAGGATATTCAAGGATAACGTTTTAAAAGGACATTTTCAACATTTATTTTTCCTGGTGCAACAAAAAATTATTTTTTTTTTAATTCTACAGAATTTTTCATTTTAACGGATACCCATATTGTGCACCAAATTTTTTAAATATTTTTTTTATTCAATTACATCCAGGAAACTTCAAAGTCCTTAAAAAAACTAAAAAAAAAATTAAAAACGCAATTATACTATATTTGGCTCCTAGTTTAGTGAATATATTGATTTTTTCGTGTGTTTTAAAAATTTTTGATTTTGGTCGCACGTTGTTATATGTATATATAGATGCTAGGAGGGCACTGACTATATTAACGAGTATTTAATAATTGTTTTCATTAAAACTTGTTACGTTACTACCATTCTCTTCGAAGATGAGAGGTTAAGAATGGATTCAATCGCGTAACTAATGAAACTCGACCAAAAACAACCGTAAAACGTATGAATATTTTCATTTTCAGATCACTGCAAATTCGTTATTTTTGATTTTTATTTTTTGGATCAATAGTAATAGACAAATTGTTTATTTTTATTTTCGGTCAATTAATTCATAACCGTTATAATGAGGCTGACCGTTTTAAATCTTTTATGATCTAAAAAATTATATCTGCAAATAAAGGCTACAATATGATCGATAAAATAAAAATTAAAAAAAAAATAAAATTTTTTATTGTAAAACTAATAACCATAAAATAACTATTATTTTAGATCAAAAAAAGATTAAACTAAAAAAAACGGTTAAATTTGATACCAAAATTAGAATGCTGGACGGCCACCACGCAGAGAGGAGAAATACAAACCGGCAAGTCTTGGTTTTGATGAACCGCTTGGGGCTTGCGAATTACTACAATGCAAAAAAAAAGGAAATTTATATGTGTGTCTACAAACTATACATATGTATGTATGTAAATATGAATACAGTGTACTGGTTCGCGCAAAAATTAAACATGATTTTTTGGACATACGCCAATGAGATATAATTTTTCAATAAACATTTAAATATTTGTGAAATAACAGCGTGCACAATAGTTTAAAACATCTTTGGGCATTTTGTTAAATTGTTTTTATACATACTTACACACATCCACCTACCTAAATATGCCATGCAAGAAATTATGCAAGCTCAGAACTAGTCACGTAACTAGATTTTGGACTAGATCTTGTTCCAGTTAAATATTTTTTACATGCAAATAAAAAGGAGGCGTATAAAAATTACATTTTAGTAAGGCATAATCAGAAACTTTATTTTACATAAATACGACACCGGTCCATTGTGTACGAATTGAGAAAATTCCCCCGCAAGATGAAGGGACAACCAAGTTTCTCGATGCCGCACATAATATCTACATTTACACAGCGCTGCACTATAAACTTATCCTTTCTATCAGCTTGTGTCAACTGGCTTTTAGTATTATTATTATTAAGACACAATATCAATGGTATAATATATAGTTGTGGGAATGGAACGTAGAATATATAGGACATACACAACTGGCCTAGACAGCGCCTTAAAATATGCAGCAAAAATTAGATTTTAAGCGCCGTAATGATGACAACTGTAAAAGTAATAAAGAATTTACATGGTTCAACTTTCGCAGACGATTAGTTGAATCAAAAGTTGAACGAAAGTAGGCAGCTGGCCAATTTCATTGCTTTAGTTGAAAGGTCGTTTACACCAGACAACTGCTACATTCAACTAAAAGTTGCTAGTAAACTCGGCCTATGGAAATTCTCTATACATACACACACGACACGAAAGACACTACACTGCACAGTAAAATGCTCTTTGCACATATTCTTATGGAGCATGCCGCGCTATGCTGCAGTGGAATTGCACGACACGACACTGCACCGCAAAGTTGACCAACTAGGCAAAATGGCATACGTGCATTGTTTATTTAACCATTTTTTTAATCGCAACTATAATTTATAGGTCAGCCAAAAACCCCGAAAAATGCAATAGGGGGACCAATAAAATGTCGTTAATATTAAAAAATGGTTAAATAAATAATTGGGTATTATTTTTTCGGTTTTATTTGATTTATCCTGATGAGAATCAGAGTTTTCCGATCGAATAATATTGATTTTCAAGAATTCTATACCATTTCTGCGTAAAGTTTTTTTCATATAAAAATACATACTTAGAAAACCTTGAGCGCTTTGAGCGTCCCCTAATTTTTTTTTTTTTATTTCAAACTAAAAAATAGGGGTAAACTTTTTTCGATATAAAATAATCCTAGGGGGGTGAGAGCATTACAATTCAGACTTTGTTTTTTTTTTGGACCACCCTAATGTATATACGTATGTCCCCATATACATATGTTGAAGGAGACAAGAAATAAAAAATTAGAATATCGTTGAATTATTTTAAAATAAAATTTTATACATACAAGACTAAAAAGACGAAGGAGGAATTTAAATAAAAAACTATTTGACATACCACGTTTCTGTAAATGGACCAAAAGTATAAAATAATATCTCCTACATTTTGACTTTACTTTCGATCTTATTTAGCTTGAGGTCATTTTAAATTAAAAATCTTTGTGGTGATCTCCGAAATAGCAGCTACCTACTATTTGTAAATTATTGTTGTTTTTCTACAACAATTTTTCATTTAAAGCTTGATGCCGTTCAAAAAAATTATTGAATACTGATTATTTTGATTTAATTTTGTTTGCGTTACTTTATTACATTTTTTTTAGTTTTATTATTTTTTAGTAAATTAAATATTTTTTAGTTCATATTCTATTTTTTTTAATTTTTTTATTTTGTTTCATTATATTTTCTTGTTTCCTAATGGAGTCCAATGGGTTATAGTCGTTGTTCTGGGTATGCAATTACAGTTGTACGACTATACTTAATCTCGCCTCTTGCGACCTCGTTCGCGCACTCTGAAAGCCGTGAGCAACCCATGTGCAAGATGCGATTACCAATCCGCGGATGCAAGCGGGCGTCTATCTGAGAGCAAGCGGCTAGCTATATAAACGTGTATTCGGTATTAAGAAACTACCAACTCCAGAAATAGGTCGTGCGCTGGGTATAAACCGCGGCTAGTGAAGAAAACAAGCTAAGCATCGGATGAAATAAGTATACCTATTCTATTCTGCATTTTTTAATTTATTTTATTTTATTTTGTTTGATTTTTTGTACTCCTTTTTATTTGTTTTCATATTTTTTTATTTTATTTTATTCAAATTAATTAATTCGTTTTTTTTCTTAAGCATACGCCAATAAATTTACAGAAACAGTCCACCTCACTTTTGTCCTTTACTATCACATACACATCCTGTATTTGCCCCAACAGATGTCCTAATTTCGCGTTAACGCACTCGTCACTTGTCGTACTCTTCCTGGCAGAAATAGCAGTTAGTCGCATCCGAACCACCAAACCGTCAACGTTCAAATCACGGTTAATACAACGTCAACACAAAAAAATAAAAAATAAAAATCAGATCAAGTAGCAAATTCAGAAGCAATTAACACTGCAATTTGCAAGCTTTTCGCCAGTAAGTTAACGCAATATCATGAGTGTAAATTATAGAACGCGCAAATAAATTAAATATAATTGAAGTAAAGTGAACAAATTGTAGGAGGCCAAACCTATTTTTCCACGCTGGCGCTTGCCAGCAAGTGCTCTGGTATTTTATTGGCTTTTTGGGTGCGCCGCACTCGAATTCAATTAAAGCTGCGACAAACGATAACGGTTTTGTGCGTAAAGATAAGAAAAATTGTGCGCGGTTTTGTGACAATTTTGTGAATTTTTTCACACGATTATGTAAGAGTGAAAATTTTTCGTTGAAAAATATAAGAAAAAATTTCTTTTCATCTTACCACAGCGACCTCTATGCTGGTTACTGAATTTTGTCTGTATACGCGGAGCAGCCGTCACCAACCAACGAGATGCGGAGTCTGCGTCCAAGTCAAAAGTGGAGCATACGCTGCACAACAACAATGCAAACAGCTGATTATCAGTTACCGACTGTCCGGCTGTTCATATACATATGTAGCTGGCGCTTATCAATGAAAACAAAACAGCACACAAATTGGGGGTTGAGATTAAAGGCAAATACGAAAGTATTGGTCTCACACATGCAAAAGATTAGAGAAAGTTGGGTTGAGTAGGGGGCGGGGACCACTCACAATTATGAGTGTATGTTATTATAAACGCTTATGAATTGAGTCGGCGCACGCGAACACCTGTTGCCAACTGTTGATTTACGAGCGCAATTCAAAGGAAAAACCCCACATCCACTCACCTTAGATAATAACGGCTGCCGACAGGCAAAGAGCAACAGTTGGCAATTACATATGTATGTATGTATGTAATACTTTGCAAGAGCACTAAAGGGGATTAAATAGGCTGTTTGGCTTTAGTGGGGGTCGTTGGCATTCGAATATGCCACAAATACTTATACATACGTATATATGTATGTATGTGTGTATGTTTATGGTGTTTACTATGCATCTTTTTGTTGCTCATTCACAGCTAGCTCAAATATGCCGCTGAGCGCCAACAGCGTCACGAAATACCAATAATTCAGTGTAATAAAAAATGCCACAAAACACAATGGTCACCAACACAAATACAATAAACAATAATTTCCATATAAATAATAATGAGGAATATGACATCGATCAGGATGATGGCATGCAGGATCTGGGTTTGCCGGTATCTGTGCAAACGTTTCTATGGCGTCAGATTGCGCCTTTCATAAGGCCAAAATTAGGCAAATTGCATGAGGCCAGTTGCATGGTGAGTTTTTTTCAATTAATACATTTGTAATTTTTCTTATTTTATGACAAAAAAAAAACATCAAAGATTATATTTGTTAAGTGTAAAGAAGTGGCTAAAAACATACATACACATACGTACATAATTAAATGTGTAAAACCGAGCAAAGTCAATGAGACTACTACTAACTTTTCGATGTATGTACCTTCGAGTATTCAAATTTGGAGTGGAAGATGCGTAAAAGTCAAGGAAGCACTTGTAAATATGAAATGCAAAGTTAAAAGCAGGGCTTCGGAGCAAAGGTGTTTTTTCAACGCTCCGCTCTTGCTCCACTCCCACTCCCAATAAAACACTTTTTTATTTACATATCAAGTCCTAACCGTCAAAAAACGTAGACGACATTTTTTGAAAATTTTCTTTTGATACAGAAATACATCTGTATATACACCGTGTACACTTGTGTACGCTTTTGCATAAAAAAAAAAAACTAAATAAAATGTCCAAGTTAATTAAATAGAATGGAAGTTTATTTAACACGGTTATTTTCAGTGGCAAAAAATAATAATTTAAGTAAATTTATTAACTCAATATTCTCTTAATTTTTATTGAGGAAAAACAAAAATAAAAATATTTTAAATAAATTGTTACCAGGCGAGAAAATAACACAAACAAAATATAGATTTTTTTAAGCAGCAAAGGAGCAAACTATTTTTTTAGCTCTTTGGTTCAGCTTCGCTCCAGCTAAAATCCTTTGCTTCTCAGCTCCTTGCTCCTTTGCTCCGCTCTGCTCCGAAGCCCTGGTAAAAAGCATATTTCGAAGCAAATACTTTGAGCTGTAAATAAACGCAAAAAATAAAAAATATTTAATTTGCCAAATTCGCTAAGCTATCTGTAGTCTATAATACAAATTTACGTGTCTTTGATTTATGCATACTTTTCTGGCTTAAAACCTACCGGCAGACATGCATCTTGTTTCTTTCTCTCTTTCCAACTTTCTATCTCTTTATTTTACATATGTACATATGTACACACATAAATATATCTTTTGCGACATAATTTTATCACCCAATTGCTTACACATTATCATATGCTACACATGCATACATATATGTACAAGTATATGTATATCTGTTGAAACTGTACAAAACTATGGTATTCTTTTTTTTATTTTTTGCTCTTTTATTACGATTTCGATCATACCATTTAACAAACCACAACGACATTTGAAATGCTCATTATTATGTGATTACTTGTGCTACTCGTATTTGATGTACAATAGTTTTGTCAACATGCACCGGGACATCATGTAAGTCAACATGCTTAGATTCACATACATACATATATGTATTTTCGTAGTTGAGTTTATTGTAGTTGGAAAAAATAGTAAATAAAAAGTATGTACATCATTTGTTAGATACTCTATGAAGTACTATGTGTATGTCGGTATTTTCTGGCAGCATGAATTGTCTCCAATTAACTCCTATCATACAATACATTTGCAACTCCATGGAAAGCTTTTTATGTGGCTCCTATTTGTTATTTTTTTTTTTTGATTTGCTTAAGATTTTTCGAGAATTTATCGCCACCACTATTAGAAAATTAGAAAAGACCGGTAGTGTAATATTTCGTGGAATTACCTTATTACGTTTCAACTTAAATAGTATTAGACTTGTTCGCTTGTATATAATAAACTCCAAACGTTTAAAGCATATAAAAAAGTATATTTTTAGCCTTCTGAAAACCATTTTAAAGTAATTCATAAATGTATATACAAATTTTAATCTCTTTGCTTTTACTGTAAAAATAAGTAAGTTACCTCTGCAAGAAGAAAATTCATTTTCTACAAATCCAACGTCATGGCGTATGAGCAACATAAAATTGTATTCATCTTATAAATAACAAGTAAAAACGGCTAAGTTCGGGCGTAAGTATTAAATATAGTTTTTTTTCACCCTTCCGAAAACTAGTTTAGTAACAATTTTATGTAAGTTAGCGTCCTTTGATTTGGAAATACCGAAGTTTCAAGCGTTTCTGAAATTTACCGTTTTATAAAAAATTATTTATCGAAGATTTCGTATATCTCTAAATTACCGTTACACACCTTTCTTTAAAAGTGGAAAAAATGTTATTAGTTGCCACGCATTTCGAAACTTTTTGAATGCATTGCATTGGCCAAGATTTATTTTGCGGTTAAGTTTTTAATCGGCCCAAAACAATATGGTTTTGTCACTGATCACTCCACAGTTACTAATCCTGCTGTTTTTATCCGTTCTTACTTGGAGTAGGCAGTTATCATTTAGATACCATTTGACCAACTTTCGATGTGTAGAATTTAAAGTGTTCAACAAATATTTCTTAAACATGCATCACGTTGCCTACGGCTTGAGGCTCATATTCCATCCTACGATTCTCGGCTTATGCTCATTAATCTGGACTTTGAATGTTATTAATGGCATCACTGAATCCCCAGTTAAGCTTTAATGTTCCACAAATAAATCTTCGCAGTTTTTATCCTTGTTAGGGGAAAACTTTAAGCCTAAAATTGCGCGTAATGCCCCTATTAAACGTGTGCTTCGGGAATTTAAAGCATTATCTAATTCGAGCCTGCTTGATTTCCCTTTATCTAGAAACAATTTTTTTAAATACTCAATTTAATTGCTTAATATGGTATTTATATTTCAATAATATTTTAATTGTCCAATTTGGCTTCTTTATGTATTTGTCTAGTCTGTAAGGTACTTTTTATTGTAGGTTAATAAATAAAAAAAACTAAATAAATTTGGACTTTTCGTGTCAGGGAGTATATTTTGCTGCTAATCCTGATGAATGCAGTGGGACCTGCTGTGCGGCATTCGTACGGGTTTTGTGCTGCCGCAGAAGAGCTCGGAAGTGAAGCAGTTTTATAGCCCATTTAATCTATATGTATAAAAATCAAATGTTTTTCGTATGACGGCGATGCCTGACCAAACACTGGTCCGATTTCAATTCTGTAAAAAGTACGTTTTTTGGACCTTTTGTGTTTCGATAAAAAAAATTCCAAACTTTTTGTTGTTGTAAAACTCCTTTCGAAATAAGCTTTCTACCGGAAAAGTGCAGCTATACAAAACTGCTAAGCGAATAGGCAGGCTAATCTTAATTAAAAAAAATAACGATAAAGTTAATAGTATGGCTCACAAGGATGCCATAATTCAAACAAAAAGAAACTAGTTTATCTCCTTTAATTTATGCTTATGTGTATTACCGCTTTATATTTTGATTTGTTCACCCCGAACGACGCCGGGTGCGCTGCCTGCAAAATTAAAAATGTCCTTTCATTTAGTACCTTTCGAAACATCCGTATGTAGTAAATTAAAGTGTTCACATCTTAACTTTGCATGCTCTTGTTCTATTGCTTGTTGTCTATTAAATATTTCAGTAAATGTTTTTTGTAGTTGAAATTCATACCATATTTTAACCAAAATAAATAGCCTTAATAATTAATTTTATTTATTTATTTATATTCATTGCAATATTTCAACAGGAATCAAAGGAAGCTTGCAAGGTAATAACCCATTTTGTTCGGTTTTTTTTCATTTCTTCTTTGACTGAACTCATCATATCTATATTAATTTCGTAACTTTAATTTTATCAGCTGAATTGGATGGCAACTACTTTTTAAAAATATTTGTAATCCTCGCTAGATATTTTTCAAGTAATATGCAATTTACTACAATTAATTGAGCTTAAATTAAAAAAACTCAAACTATTTAAAAAAAGGAAACATTTTCTAAAATTTTTTTCACATCCATTTTCTCCACCTCCACGCCAACGACACAGTCCTTTGAAAAAGTACTGGTACAAAACATCCAATTCGGTTTATCGCCGCCGCTCACCAAAGCACTGGGGGCTATACCACGCTGGCGACTACTGCAGGCAGCGCTACCACACGTAATGCACTGTGTTGCCGCCTTGTTGCACAATCGTGTCAAAGATATGCAAGCAATTGGACCAGTCGAAACGAAATTACTCTACACCATGCAGTGGATATTGCTCTACGCCGCCGAGGAATGCGCTGATGATGAGGGCGGAAATGAAATTTTGGGTGATGAGACACCCAAGCAGAAATCTGTGGAGCAATATTTGTTTTCGGTGCCTACGATAACGGTACAATTAAGACAGCATCAGTTTTGTTTACTGTTAAATATGATGTAAGAAATACTTTTACTTTATTTTTTTATTTTTTTAGCTCTTTGTATACCTATTCGCGCCCATCATACACCATTTGAAAGAATCAGACTTCCAAAATTTCCGCTTAGAAAATGGCATTAAATTATGGCAGGGTATGTGGGATAATCGCGCGCCGGGGGCACCTTGTTTTACGGCACCTGTCAAGCCAAAGGCGCGTAATTTGCTCTGTGCGCCCACACCGAAAGGTTCGACGGATATGTTTCCTGGACGTGAGTGCATGCATACATATTTACACCTATTGCATGCAGAGTATGCACAATCATAATAATATTATTCGATTGAAATTATCTAGGCAAGCCATCATCCAATGCAGATGTAGCCACCTCACCAAAACTAGATTCGCCGCAGAGTCAACTATCGGAGCACACCAGGCAAGACGAAGAAGTAAGCTTATCAGTCTTATGCCTAAATCACTCAAATCTTACACGCTGTCATGCTACTTTTTGCAGAACTCTTGGGTCTCTTCGCCCAAAGAATTTGCTTTTCCCGAGACCATACCCGAGGAGGCTTCAAGTGTGGAAGATGAACGCGTAGTCATTTTTCGGCTGCCCTCCGCGCCACATCTAATGGACAACTCGTTTTTTACGGTAAGCACATGAATGTGTGCAACTTTTTACTACTCGATTCACACTGCTCTTTTTCGCTCTGGCTCTGCTTACAAAGGCCGACGCAAGCTTACTGCAACAACAACAATTGCAAAGTCGTCGCGGCAGCCGGCAGTCGGTACACTCACGCGACAAAGATAAACCAGCCACAAAGTTCGAATTCGATCAACAAGAGCTAATGCGTGGTGCATCGGTAAAGGATAGGAGTAGTCCATCATTGGAGAAGGAGACCGAATCAGATAAGTCTGATAGTGTGCGTATGGATGTATCGGCGGCCACATTTCTTGATGTAGCCGTGTTGCGTTGCCTCTTCATTTCGCACTGGCAGGAAGAGGGCATTTTCTGGAGTCTACAATACATGTACAATCGGTAATTATAGTAAAAACTCGTATTAGCACGAAAAAATAAACAATAGTACTCAATTATCAATCGCAGCCTAAGCGAAATCGGTGAAGAGGCGGCCATTAGTTTGAATCAGCCACGCAAACGATCCAACTCGCTACCCATACCACAAATCGAGATTTCACTGTATCAAGGTCCGGGCAGCAATAGTCGCGATAGCCCAAGCAGCTCAGTGGCTAAAGATTACATCGAAATACCGGAACCAGCGGTAACTAAGCAAGTTGGTAAGTTAATTCAACAGCTTGCGGTAAATACACTTTTGAAATTTTTTATTTATTTATTTTTTCTTCGTAGAAGAGTCCAGCCCCACAGCGGAGCGCCGCGGCAGTGAGAAGAAGAAGCGCGTCAAAATGGCTGATTTGCGTGCCTTTGTCGAAACGAAAATGTTCTCGAAGTCCGAGAAGAATCTTGAAAAAGTAGGCCTAGAAACAAGCTCTGCTAATGGCAAGAGACCACTGCAACATGCAGTAAGATTGAACTAAACTAAATCTTTTTTTTTTGTTGTTCTGTTGTACTACTGCTTTTTATTTATTTTAATGTTTCAATGCTCCCCTACCTTTAATACCCACAGTTCGTACTTACTGAACTAGCCGGCATTCTATTTACAAATTCTAATTAAAGCACTTACTTAGTTTCCCTATGGCAGAGTATCTAAACTATGAACTCCTTAATTTTTGCTATTGCTAAGTTTTTATTTACACTGCGTTTACACTTATCTATGAGCTTAACTGTCTCCCTTATATTTTAAAAACGAATATATTCATAAGTTAATAGTTCAATTACTTTTGCTGATTATTCTCATGCATACTGCTTAACTATCGCAAGCATTGCGAAACTGATTAATTATTTTCAACTTCCCGAAGGAATATCATCGCAGTCTGGATACGGGCGAGAAGAAATTATCACGCTCAGCTTCAATGATTACCAGAGAGCCAGCAAGTAATCTTATTAAAGGAAAATCAATGCCAAGTTTAAGGTAACCACTAAAGCGATTTTGCTCGAAACTCTTTTTGCGTATACTCGTACATACATAGATATTTTATCAAAGTTTACATAGAAAAAAAAACATGCATAAATACATACATTTAGAAGCATAAATAAGTAGCTATACTCTGTTACTTATTAGTAAATACTACAACAAATACATAAATACATATTTCTCATTGTAGCTGTAATTTCTCATGTAAGCTGTAATTTTAAAGCTCACTTTATATTTAAAGCTTGCATTTTATGATTGTGTCTAAAGTAAATTATTTTATTATCGGTTTTTAATTGGTTTACAATCCAGCAACATACTGCAATCGTCAAAAACTGATAATAGAAATGCTTAACTTTAGATATGGTTTTATTTTTTATCCAACCTTTATATATAAAGTGAGCTTTAAAGTTAAAGGTTACTTCAGAAAACGGCCCTTAGAGGTTTAGGTCAAATTTTTTCCTTAAAACAGTGCTAAAACATTTTCATTCACCCTTTCTTCTTCTGGAACCAGTTTAGTCACAGTGAGACAGTCTTTCACAAAACTGCGATGTCTGGCATGTGTGTGCAACACGGGAGCTGCGGTGCGTCCACGACCGACGGCAGCGCTTCAGTTAATTCTCTACCGTGAGCCCATGCATATTACCATAGAGCAGGCAGCCAAGCGTACACTCTTCTGATTTTCGCAAGAGATGGCTTGCTAGGGTCCCAGCTTCCTCTAGCTCTTTTCCACAGAGATAAGGTATACAAGGCAATTGTTTTCAATTAGACTTCAAATAGAGCCCTGGAAGAACTCAATTTTTGAGGGACATGAACTGGCTTAGAAACACCAGAGGTCATCGGGGTTCGCATACAATCTATGTGCGGAGTTTAACTTACGTAGAAACTACCGTAATGAGAGAATATCAATCCATAGCGACAGTCGGTTGGCGCTCCAGGCACTCCACTCACAACTAGAAGAGTTATAGGCTTGTCACAGGCATCCTCACGGGATGGTGCAGATTAAGAGGACATCTTTACAGGTCAGAAATCTTGTCAAAAGACCTATGCCGCTTTCCGCCTCAGCTAAAGAGATAACACTGCACCTGCTTCTTGAGTGTGTGTTACAATGGCGAGATGATGGGAAAAATGTCTTGCCTCAATGTGGCCGGAGGACAAGCGCTTACATTTCATGCCTCCAAAAGTTGTTCTAGACTGACTGTAGAGTCTAGGATGTTAGTAATAAGCGGACGATGTTTTGTATCCCTGGGATATCTCCCTAGCTCAGGCAGTGAAAGACACTGTCATCTTCCTCAAAACTCCTAGTTTCTCACCTACCATCAACATGGAGTAAAGTCAAAGTGGGGAAAAACTTGGCACAACTCCTAAGGGCGTATGTGAAATTCAACCCGCATATCAGGAAATACTGCAATAACATAGCCTAGCTTAAGTTATTGAAAATGCATTGCAGTCTCAACAGATAGCTTTGAGTGCATTCCTGGACATATCGGATGCTCTTGACAATACGTCTTATGAAGCAACATCGACAGATATGATAAGGAAGGATATTCCAAGCCTTCTTACTGATTGGATCATAAACATGATGAAATCCAAAACTACAATAGCGTTACCAAAAGCTTTGTAGTTATGCGCACTGCCGGAAGTCAACGGGAACGAAACAATAAAACAGATTCAAACTCCTGCCTGGAGTCTTAGAACTCTCACAGGCTGTCTGACAGGATACTGTAACTTAAGGTACCATTTGAATAGAATGAGGCTTCCTGTAGAGTGGAACTTCATTTTTGTGGGCTGGCGAAGGAAACCTCATAGCATATTATATGTGGGGCTTCGCACGCATCTATAATCATAGACTGATACACCTCGGGGAACGATTTCGAAAATGCCACCCTCCAATGTGCTTAATTTCTTAAATTGCCTAAGATTGGAGTGACTACTATTGGGGTATAGCACAATAGATCTTTTTATGTCGCAGCGAGAGTAAACACGACGTTATATTAATAATAATAAGAGTCCCAAATAAGGCATAGATATGGATCGCAGTTGGAGGACGAGAGTACTCGGGCAGGTTGGTGCGGCACATTCCAACCATATTCCGATCGGACGTCTTCACAACATCTATCTAAGTATTTGACTTTATCAAAAAGCCCAATCTTCAAAAGTTATATTCCCTGACTTGGATATCGCTGCGTACTGTTTTAACTATACCAGTGCAGATGTTTAATAAAGTTTTTCAAAACTAAAATTTAGTAAAAAGGAAGGGAAGGGAAATTCAGTTTTAGTAGTTTTCCTTGTAGATACGGAATCCTACTATTAATAACTGTAAATATATACATTTGTACATACTTGTATTGTTTCAATATCAATAGAGCACCGAATTCAAAATATATATATTTTTTTTCATTATAAAATATAAAAAAGCGTCAATGGATGATCCGTACAGGGCGCCTAATTAGTTAAGGCCGGCCCTGATCGTAATGGTATAAATGCATTTATATTTTTGGCTGATATGTATGTAAATGTTTTCATAATTTATGATTTTAGGAAGAAATATTTAGCTAAACATTTTCTTTAATTCCAAAGTAAATTTGATGAATTTTTGTTCTAAAAAAATCCAATTTAAAACCCAATACTCCTAAACGAGGCACCAATCTACTCTCATTACACCCAAATCTCATCAATTTTGATAGTTCCAATTCATTCTTTGAAAATCACAATTTAATCATTTGCGCTAATATTTCTAAGCCATAATATATTTCGACTAACCGCAGTGTCTACCTAATCGATAATTACTTTCGTTTAATTGATTAATTGTAGCTATCAATCGTCTGAAAAACATGTTCATATCTTATGTGAACGCAGAAAATCAGAAGGCTCCGCGCTTCTATCACGGGTGAAAAATAATGCCTCAACTCTACAAAAACTGTTAGTGCTGATATTTGGTTTAAAATTTTACCTACAAAAAAAATTTTAAATTTCTATTAAATAGCATTAGCACATTTTTTACTCAACTAATAAATACATTTTTTGCTAGTTGAATCCTGCAGTCCTTTTTTCCAAAATAAATATACTCGTACCCTATTTTTCCTGTAGTTAATTTTTAAGGTTTTTTAAAACATTTTTTTTTTAATTCATAAACCAATATTTTTATAATAAAAAATTTCAATCCATACATTTTTACAAATACATATTTACTATTATTGTACACTGGTATTTATGGACACATATGCATAAGAAATTGTCTAGTGCTAAACTAACTTATGAATTTAATATTGACATTTTTCGAAAATTACATACATACACACGCATTGAAATGAAAACTTTTTTAACACTTTGTAATCAGCGAAAACATAAATGATTGAAAGTTTTTAGATGCATACTCGTATGTGCTCCAATATTTCCTCAATTGACCAACCACTTACCGGCACCTTTTTTTTGAATACAATACTCACCAAACTACACCAAAAACGCCAATCTATGTAAATCCAAACCTTTTTATTACTATGTATTTCTTACTAAATCTTTGCACTCTTCTCTTAACCTTTAAATATCCAAAGCTGTCTTCTTGATAGTGGGTGAGTCTTCTCCATACAGTCAACATATTTCTCGTTGCATTTGGGCTTGCTTTTTTTTAAACAAAAACCTATCAATATGTTAAATTCTTATATTTACTTTAGAACTTCTTTATGTACAAGTAGACAAATTATTCGAAAAGTTTTAATATTCGTTAGACATCGGAAATTTTATATCCAACACTATTTGCAAATCTGCCTCTCAACCTATAAGGATGTGAAGTAAATAGATTACTAATGAAAGCTATGAAAGATGAACCAGTTTGTAAGCATTCCATTACAATCCAGAAAATTTAAGTTTACCTAACCTAAAATAAGTTTGTCATTGTTTGGAGAGATCGCTCCATCATTTTCATATGTAATTTATGGAAAGCTAGCTAACGGTAATCAAAAATCCGTATGTCTACCAGGTTGCACAAAATCAAATTGATGTATTTAATAGTTTATTGCTCTCAGACTTATATTAGAGAGATGACACCTAAAGCTTATTATCAGAAAAACGCTGAGTGTGGAAAAAATGCGACCCAATGACCTTGAACATTAGGTTTGCAAAGATAAGACACAAGAGCAGCAGGTCCTAAAATGATTCCACCTCGTCATCCTATCCTATCATGTAATGATCTGTTAGTACTCCCATCAAAAGCGAGAGGTGTAACTTACATAGTCTCAAGTGTTTTCTGGACCTACACGTGGCCAAAAGAATTTAGGCACCTTGCCAGCGCTCTTCGAGCTGACTAATCGCCCATATGTCAAGAAGTACACCAAACGAGATCAGGGGAGCACCCAGACTTTCTCTATTCAGGAGCACTTGCACAAAGGTTCCCTGCTTTGCCAGCTCATCGGTCATGCAGTTTCCGACGATAACACCTTCGCTATGACCTGAAATCCAAATAAGCTTAATAGCGTAGTAATCCGATGCGATCGACCAGAAAGTCAAACAATCATTCGTCGTTCTCGAACAAAGCAACAAGGAGCCGAGGGCCTTGCTACAAAGGTGTTACACTAGAAAGCAACCAGTCCGAAGCCTTCTTTATTGCGGCTACCTCTGCTCGGAAAACGTTACAGTGATCCGATAGTCTAAATATCTGGTTGATGAAGAGTTCTACGTTGACGACACCTCCACTAACGTTACGGTGAATATGGGTGATGAAAGATTCATTTCGACCTAAAATCAGGGTGCAGTGATCTACGGGCAGTTAGATCGTATTGATCGACGCGTATTGTAGGCGCGTCCGATTCTGGTCCTGAGACCATGATTTTATTGGTCATGCGACTTTTATTTTCTGCTTGGATAGATCCCTGGTTGGCAACATATTCCGGTATATTTCCGGATACAGAGTCACAAGTTAGTTCAATACTCGCCTTGACTAAAGCTGCAGCTTTATTTTCTTTCCACTTACATCTCTTCAGCTGCCACCCGTTTCAGGATCAGCAACACAGAACTTTTCCTCGAATATACTCTTCTGGTATGCACCAGGTTTTCGGTTCCGTCATCATTACCAGTGCTTGAGTTGAAAAAGAACCATTTAGCACATTCGCAACATTGGTTGCTCCAGCGTTCTGGAATGCTAGTCACGCTCTACCTCATACGTAATTCCACCGACACCCTGGATGTCCGTCTTGGACGTAAAATACGATGAGTATAAACAATTTCTAGGCCTCCGATGAGTTTGAGGGAAATTTCAGCTTCATGGCTTTAATGAATTTCAGTACGTCTTAAAGATAGAGGCAGCTGCAGTCTGAAATGTTCTGCAGAAATGGGTTTCGACTGTTTTTATCCCCATCCTTCCGAGGAATGAGACCGGGTTCCCGCAGCTGTGACAGAACCAAATGAAAGATATGCCCATGCTTTCGGCTTGTACCCAATGTGCCCTGCACACTGCATATACGACCCTGCTTTGCTAACGCAATTCGGCGTGTATTACTCTGGACTTTAACAGATACCCAACGTGCACGTCTTTTGTTATATGTAAAGTGTTGGATGTAAAATAGTATTTCTTTAAATAATCACTTATCATTGGGACAAGAAAATTGCTTACGCATTTTTGAGAAGTTAAATTCATCAATAATACCAAATAATGTAATAGAACGACTTTACCACCGGTAGAGTTGGCTGGTTTTGCATATGTAAGGAATATCCGCTAAAGTCAATTTAAAGCAAACTTCGGCTGCATGCTACTAAGTACTAAGGAAGGAAAATGCAAATGTTTCTTCTACAAAATAATGTCCTTGACTTTATCGGTTATAATCGGTTAATACAGATATGAATTAGGGCTGGGTCCATCCGAATATTCGGATATCCGTTTGAGTAATCGTATATACGTATAAAATCCGGATATTCGGTTCCCATTTTTATCCGAATATCCGGTTAATGTTGCTACTCTTTGTGTATCCGGTTTATATCCGTTCATTTTGTTATCCGTTTTTTTATCAGATATTCAAAATATCCGGATTATTCGGTTACTCAAGGAATTCGAATAGAACTCCCAGCCTTAATATAAAAACTTATCTTTATTTTGCCATCCTTATAGACTTATTTCCCTTTTTATCTAGCACTTTTATCTAGCCAAGTTTTGCCTGATTTGCGTCTTTCTTCACAGCTTTTTGCACCAACCACTTTTTGCCTGTTATTTTCTTGTTACCTACTTCTTTGTCCCATATATACATAGTATTACATACTCACGCCCAAATTCGGTTCAGTTCAATGGGCTTGTATGCAATAATCGTCGCCGCACTGCCGCACATCACAATCATCACAACTAATTGCGCGTATTTTGCATTTGTTCAAAATTACCAGATTTTACAGGTATGTGGAGCCACCGAAAGCAATGCGTCCCTCCCAGTCCACCGGACAGCGCACGACATTCTATCCGCGCAATCCCATAATCACCGTAACGGAACATACGCCTACACCGTCGCCAGATTATCTTAAGCGGCAGGTTAGTAATCGCCGGAAATTTTGCAGAAACACATTCGCCTGCTAACATACGCACACACTGTTCATACAAACATAGTTTGCTATTAATTTGTTATTTTCACGCGCCTTTGCAATAAATCATTTCTCCTTTTGCCGCTCCATTGCAGGGCTCCATTGACTCCCAATTGGACGCACTGAGTAATGGTGGTAGTATTAGCGGTGTGGCAGGCGGCACAAGTGGCAGCGGTGGCGGTGTTAGTGGCACCGGTACCACGACTAATCGCTTCCGCGGTCAAATGCTGCGTTCGCACACCGATTCACACATCGATTACACTGGCGTAGACGAATCGGAGGCACCTGGCAGCTCCTTCTACATTACACGCGATGGTGGCATTGACTACGAAATTGTTTTGTTAGCAGTTTTCAATATCTTCAAACGAGATATGACCATTTGTTCGCAGCGTGTATTGGAAGCGGGTTTGAACATTTGTGAACTATTACTGGAAATGGGTGTACTTAAGCTGGGTGAGCATGCGCACGAGATATCGATGGGTATTATAAAACGTGCGCTACTGGTGTTGGGCTGTCACAATGGCTGTAATGATGGTATGCGCTGATCTAACTAGACTACAAGTGCACTATGTTTGTGCATAGTTAATGTTTTAGGCAATTGATGCATTTCTTCTTATACAGGCGTACGCGGCCCGCCGGCAGATTTTTTGCGCAGCCAATGTCAAAAGATACTTACACGGATATTACGTCAGGCTAGCCATCGTACCAAACGCTACTTACAAGAAATGGTAAAAAGTACAGACTTACATGAATTAGTAGACTTCTTCCATGCCTTTGTGGCATTTTGTGTGGATCCAAGTTCATTATTATCACCGCTGAGTGAGTCGTTTTATGCCATTAATGCTTAAGTATATATGTATGTATATGTATGATTAGGGGATTCCCAAGGTGTCATAACAATCGTATTGTCGTTAGGTTGTGAATTTTGGGTAAAAGGGTCAAAAAAGTTGTTTGCTGTTGCTGTGAATTAGCTAAAATTGTTTTTAACGGTAATAAAATGACGATAATAGGCATCATTAAGACATCTTGTGAATTCCATAAATAGTTAACGAGAATAGTATGCTTAGTTCCTGCATGTTTCGAAACTTAAAAGTATATTTCTTTTCAACTAAAATTGGATCATATGAAAAGCTTTTGCGAATTTTTGTTAAAATGTAGTGTTGATGGCCATACAGCTAGCAACGCTTAAATAAATGCGTCAAACTGACCTGCGTTTGAAAAATGACATTTCAGGCTGCATTTTTAGTGAAGACAGTTCTGTAATTCGCGTGCTAAAAGTTATATTGATTTAAAAATTAGTGAAATATCTCAGATGCCAAAATTCCTGTGACTCTACTGGCAATTTGCTTCTTGACCGTTTTTTTTAAGAGCTAAGCTTTAGCAACGCAAGCGATCATGTTCAAAGATCGATGACACTCCACAAACTACTTCAAAGCCCAGATCGACGGCAAAGGGAGGAGAATTATCCATTATGAACCGCAACATCGTGGCGAAACGATCAAATAGCGACCAGAATTAGCCAACAGAAAATGCTAGGCCACACACACATATTTGATAACTCGGAAAAAATTTACGGAACTTTGTTCGGCAGTTTTAATGCATACACCGTATAGCCAAGATCTTGGATCGTCTGACTTCCATTTATTTCGGTTTTTGCAACCAAAACCTCTTGACAAAAGGACACAGATAATAATAGCCAATGATTAAATTTGATTTTTAATACAGATTTTTTTTTTTTTTTCAAAAATGTACCCAAAAATTCGAGCAAACTTTTCATATGATTCAATATGCATTTATATACATACATATGTAAATGTTCAGACTTGAGCTGCCAAGTAAGGCAAAGGACTTAAGTAACTTATGGCCATATTATAAAAGCGTTCCAGCAGACAAATTTCCTGTAATTTCCTGTAACTGAGTGCAATTTCGTGAGAGTAAAATGCGTTTACTCTCAGTATGAAGTAGCAGAATTTAGTTCGAAGTTTTTCTTCCTGCAAATTCATGGAAACTGTCAAATGAAGAGCATTCGTAAACAACAAGTGAAAGAGCTGATGCAATTTATAAGATATATATTTTAGCAGAATAGAGGCCAATTGTACAAATATAACGAAAACTTTTGAGAACTAAAATGTTGTGTGGAAGAATTTTCGCCGGAATAAATAATTCTGTAACAAATATCTGGCATTTATACACCTGCAGGAAAAATAGTTTTTCTGCGTTCCAGCAGTTTTTCTCAGTTCTTCGAACGTTGCTCACTCTTGTGAGAGATATTTTGCTTTTTGACAGTTCTACAGGTTTTAGTCCAAAAATGGCTGGAACGCACCTTACGCACCAACCATATACTAAAATTCGCATTACTTATGGCTACTGACTACTGACTGTCAGTTACTGAGTCTAGTAGCGCAATTTTCTGTTTCCCGCTTATGACGATTTTGTTATTTGTTTACATAAATTGATAAGCTTATTGGAGCAAAGTTGCCAAAAAAGTAAATTCGGATGATGTCTTGCTTTTCTATATACTGAGATTAATCGCTATACATAAAACAGTAATTTTTAAACAAACAAGTAATTTTTAAGCAAAAAACAAACATAAAATTTTGGGGGTACCGTTATTTTTTCATGACCCAATTATCGGATCTAAACTACATTAGTATGAGACCACCTCTGAGACACTACTTTTCCGATGCAAAAAGAATTATCGAAATCGGTTGACGTGGTCCAAATTTATGCGGTAACATACATAAAAATAAAAAAAATCCTCCTCCTTTTTAGAAGTCGGTTAAAAGTACTGGTAACCATGGCTACTAGACACAAGTCGCCATACATTCTAGAAGGCATATCGTTATAATGCCTTCGAATTTTTTCGCTTCCTTTAGGCGTTGCCGGTAATGCAAAGTAGAATGTCCTATAATATTTTTTTTAATTCGCTTCTTTGCTTCATTTCGGGGAATGCGAAGTAGAATGCCCTACAATATTTTTTTTATTTCGCTTCTTTCGATTTTCAAGTAAAATCTAAATACATAAATACACACATATGATTTATAAAAATTTTAATTAATTTTAATCTTTTAAGACATTTTCTGATTTCAATTTAATATGAATAAATATTTATCTAAGCATTCTACATTAGTTTCTTTGTCTGCCTTATTCTTTGTTGGCTTCTCTGGATTCTGTTTATCCATGCGTTCTCCTTTCGTTTGAAGGTAATGCTGCGGGTAATGGCTTACGGCCAATGACATGCCCATATTAAAATACTGCCTTCTTGAAGCGAAAGGGTAAGCGATTCCCATCGCCTAGCTCGTTTCCACTTTCGTTTCTGTGGTAATCGTGTTTTTTGCTGGGTACTGGCAGCCAGAATTGAAATTTTATATTTTTATGAACTAAGCGCACTTTGTAGGCAAGCTCTAATCTCTCGAAAACTAAATTAGTCCTATATACCAGAATGAAGTTTTATCTTTATCGTAAGCTTAATGTTCAGTACATGATATCAAGCTAAGCGATCGGTGCTATCTACTTGTACAAGAATTCCAAATAAAGCTGGGGATTACATCCTAGCCTGATGTCATGAATAAACATTAGGGTGCCTCACCAAAAAAATATTGCTCAATTCTGGACAGAATTACATTCTTACATATATAAAACACTTTGCACGTTTTTAATTTGTACGTAAAAATTTTAAAATAATTTTGATTGGCACGATAACTCTAAGTAATTATTTGCAGTTATATGTTTTTTTTTTCAAAACAAATTGTTAAATTAACTTAAGCTTATATTTCTGCAAGTCTTTCATGCTTTCCGCTTTGTAAATATTTTTAGCTTTAGAACTTAACTTCCATTTAGGCCGCTTGAAACTTCTGTAGACTTTTCTTTTAAGTTCTTGTGCTTCTTTATTTGTATGTAAGTATATGTATTAGGTTTTTGATAATCCTTGTTATTGCTGTTGTTGTACGTCACGCTCCCTCTGTGATAAATATATACACACACCAAATCTCTTCGTTGTATACTCGTATGTATGTATAAATGAATATAATAGCACATAAGCGCACGGGTGGATTTAAAAATGTTAACACCGATACGTCCCCATCAGGCGGCCAAGGCGGCTATTCGACCAATTTCAGTGGGGGTCTTAGTGGTGGACCCGAATCACAGGTGATTGCTGCCGTTTTCAAGCCGTTGGTAACGCGTTTTGTAGAAGCAACCAAAGATTTGAAATCACCCGAGAATGCCACATTGTACAGCGATATACGACAGCTGATAACCTATGTGAAGGGAGCACACGGTGGACCATTTCGACTGGTGGCACTTAGTGGCATATTGGCCGTGACGCCGCGACCACATAAGAAGGGACCGACTGCGCAAACTACTCGTGTTATAAGGTACATACGTATCTTTTGAGAGCTCAATTTTTTTTAACTGGCTATTTTTTTTCACAGACACATACCGCAGGCGGAGGTGGCGCAAAGTATTCCCAACGATGATAATCGCTCGCAGCGCCGATTTCTATTGAAAAAACGTAGCACTTCATCCGCCTGTGCTGTGGTAAGCGCCTACTCCTTCTAAGCAAATTTTTCAATAATTTCCCCCCAACAGAGTCTATTGGAGACTGAACCGTGTGAGGAGCATTACAAAAGTAGCCAATCGCCATTGAGCAACTTCCGTCGACGTACCACCGGCGTGCGACCAACGCTAACGCCACGTCACAGCGAACGTGCATTGCTCTCCGATTCCACATCAAGTTCGGAACGCAATTCACTTGGTCGCTTGAGCGGTTTGGTGCGCTGGTTTCGCAGCACGCCAAAAGAGGCGTCTTCCATTGACTTGGAAATTGGATCACTTAATCCGGAGATTACATCAACATTCATACGGCATGCATCGTTGAAGATACAACGCGGTCGCACAAGCGATGGAATTGGACGCTCGATACAACGCGCAAAGCGCCGTGTTGAGCGCCGCCTTAATCGTTTTGGTATTGTGAAGGGTAAGAAGAAGGCTGGCGGAATTGAAGAAACCGCAGACTATAGTCGACGCAGCTCTTCGGACATGTGCGACGGACCGCGCGAGTCCGAAGTAGTAGTATTGAAGGAGAGGAAACTGATACCAATGGAACCAGTGCGACTGGGCATGCTACGGTTGTCGTTCTTACTCGAAACCTGCGCGCCAGGCTCATTTCCCGATCCGCAGCTGATTGCAGCCGTATTGGACTTGGTGAGTTTTAAAGTTGTTCTATGAATATAGACGTCTTTTGTTATGGTTAACTTATCTACACTTAGCCTCAAGCACCACTTGTGGCACGCGCCACCTTCCTACTTGAATGCGCGCACTTTGTGCATCTCTGCAACAAAGGTCAATGGCCACCGTGGATGAAGCATAATCTACCCGGCTATCGGCCATCTGGCGCCAACATCAACCTGAATCAGACCAAACATCATACAACTGCGACAAGTACGCGACGCACACATATACTACAGCGCGCCGCAGGCAAAATGTTTCATCAGGTAACCAAAGCTAAATAGAAAGTAATACCTTGGAAAATAACCCATTGTTGAATTTCTCAAAGTGGGCCGAAATGCTGGGCGCGCGACTCGAGGAGCTCATATTTACCGAACGTTTACAATTCGAGTCGGTCAATGCCACTTTTGCCGATCCGGATCGCCAACGCGAGCTGCTGCAACAAGATGAAGAAGAGGACTTTCTAGATGAGGCTTCCGTAAATCCGCATGGTAATGATTGCCCGCATGCGTTGAAATTAATTGCATGTGTGCTGCTCTACGAAATCACTGCTTTTCTGCGAGACACGTATGTCTTACTGCCCAAAGCATCGAAGCTGCTACATCGCGAGAAACACGCACCTTGGGAGAAGGTATATCGCGAGGCAAATCGTCGTTGGTCCATGGCATTGAGCTCGATGGGTCATTCGCAGACATCGGCGCAAAGTTTACAGTCCATTGCTGCCGGTAATGACACCACGGGTAGGCATTACATCAAATTTGTTGTTTGGTAAACTAATTTGTAAAATGTATATGTCCTACAACTTCTTGTAGGCGGTCAAACTGAGCGAAAGATATCGTTTGTGCTGCACGAACCCGACAATGAGTCAGAAAATAGTAGCAACACTACGCTAACGAAAGAAGGTGAAGAAGGTAGTGGTATATGTATGTTGTAGTGAAATTCATGCTTGGAACATTTTTTTCACTTTATTTCCATTCGCTCTTTAAGCTCGTCGTCCAGCCGCTTCAGCCGTGCGACCATTCCTTTTGCGCCGCGGTACAGCCACTACCACGGGTGGTTCCTTCAAGCGCCGCTCATTGAAGCTGCGACGTAATACTAAGGATGGCAAAGATCTAGAAACCGATTGTGAGTTAATTTTTTTCTGTTTTTTAATTTACGGACTAAAAAGTTTTATATATATGACTACACACATTAGACAGCCAAGCTGATCACGCGAGTTCTTAAACAAATCTGTTAGCTAAAAAAGGATGAAATTTTATTCCAACTTACAAAAAAGAATTGGACTTAAACACCTGCCTGATAACCGTTGTGACCAGATAATCAAACAAAAATAAGCTAAATTGACTTTAGAAATAAGGTTAGAAAAATACAGAGGCAGTGAAAAAATGACCTCCTACGAATTTAGTGAGGTGTGCTCATTAAACCAACATCAATTTTTTATTTTTTTTTGCTCAAAACTTCAAAGTAGGTCTTAAGCAGCCTTTTTCTGTACTCGTACAGCGAAAGAAGGCGAGCATTTTCGCGAAATATTAGACAACGCGACAAGGTCTGCAAAACCCCTGCCTGAAAGACTTTTTTGAGAAGAGCTCCTCGTTTTGCTGACTGTAAGAATATACCATTGCATTTCATTTAGTATTTTATCTTGGCTTCTAGAAATTTCAAAAATTTATCTAATTTTAAAATATCTGTGTACGAAACCGGTTTTTTTCTCTGAGCACATAAAAAGGAAACATAAAAAAAAACAGAAAAAGCCACAACCTAAAATCCCGAGACCAGAACAAAAATATTTATAAGTGCTAAATTTAGCATCAAAAAGGACTAACCTGGTCACACTGCTGATAACACTTCCAGGTAGTTCTCGGAGCTTAGTATAACAGAGAGACATTCGTGGTAAAAACACGTTCCAGTTTTCTGTTTGACGTGTTTCTGCGCAGCGCCCATCACTATGCTGTACCTCCGAAGAAAAGAAAGTGTGTCAGCTGCCTACACTTCTAATAAAATCCGTTTACGGCGTAAAACTGTTGGTCCCTCCCATTGTATAACAACATCATGACGCACACCACAAATTGGAGGAGAAGCTCAGCCAAACACTTAGCAAAATTTTAAGCGCCAGAATATTATTATACGACACTTGAGAAGTGCTGTGCAGTCCTTTTTTACGGGTTTATCGAGAATGTAGTGTACATTTAGGCGCTATGTTAGTTATTCCTAATTTTTTAGCAAGTTGAAATGTATTGTGGGAACTTTTTATTCCTACTTTCTGCCCGAATGTGTCAACTGTACGTCCACCTTGACCTACTAGTCTAACTAACCTTACGTCGAAGAGCAAGCTGTTATCAAGGCAAAATGTTCTATTCATAATCATTAGCCATTACTTTCCTTCATTTCCTCTTTTCCTAGAATTTCAAAGACAATTTCGTTTATTTTCCAGTCAAACGCGTCGACTCCATACAGTCGCGTCGCAAAGTTTCATCGCTCTCCGATCGCAGCGATACTTCGGAACAAGGAATGGTCAGTGGTGAAGAATCGCCAGGAATACTAAGCGACGATCAACAACCAGAATCCCCCACAGACTCCAACGAAACAGATGACACGGCCAAAAATATGCCTTGGCTTAAAGCAGTTATCGATCTTATTACTAGCTACAACTACTATTGTTCACACAAGGGCTATTGTCATCCGTACTGCTACAAGAGACATATGCGCGCCTGTACGCGTTTGATAAAGGCCACCCGAAAGGTAAACAAAACACACGATAAATAAAACATAATAAATCAAGGAAGTCTTCCCATTTATGTATGCAGATCTACGGCGAAGAATTCGGTTTTACTTTCGATATCGAACATCCGACAGTAGAGCCAACAGCACCCGTAAGCGCGACATCCAAATCGAATCAAACCCGCCCGCGTTCAACGCGTAAGGTATCCGAACAGAGTTCTACGCACACCTCACCGTCCAAACGCAAGGATAGTATCTCGCGACGTGATCGGTAATTAAAAAAAAAATTATTCGCTGAATTAAATTCTTACTATAGTTGAGATCTACTTGTATTTAGTATAAGCGATGATCCCGATATAGAAATCGCTGAGAAGCTGGCTGACGCCTTTCATCAGGCAAAGGAGAAAAAAGAGCAGGACGAACCAGCTATACTGAAGTATCAACGCTTCTATATACGAACGCTATTTCACTATCCCTTCGCCACGATGCTTAAGGGGGCCGTCATACTGACCGAGGAAATGGTTATCGAAGCAATGCCCGCAGCTTGGGAACTGCTGCTCGATACGAATCAAGACACTGCCTCAGCGAGTTCGGCCGTCTTTCTAATGGGTTCGGTGAAGGCACAGAATTTCGCTTTTGACATAATGCAGCGCGCTTTGAAGAGCAAAGATCCTGATGTACGCATTGGTGCAGTACAAAGGTGCGCACTATACATATGTATACTCAACTCTAAATACTAACTAACTTTATCACCTTAACGTTTAATTTGTAGATATCTTGTACTCTGGAAGAGCCGCTTTCATGTGTGGCCGCGCATGGAGGAAAACGCACATGATCTGACCTTCAAAGTGCCACCTGGTGGCATAGAATTTACGCTGCCTTCTCCCAAAATAGGCATAGAAAGCTTACCGGTCGTCGATCCGCCTTGGATGCCTGTGCAACAGACTAAGGATATGGATGTGACGCTCAATCAGGACAGACACGTAAGTTGAGATATTTCCATGGGCTTATGACTAAAAAAATAAGTGCTCTTTTCCAGCGCTCCCTCGTAACGGCCACAAAGAGTCGCAAAATGCAGCAAACAGAGGCAATACGCAATGCTTTGCGCCAACAACGCGACAAACAACGCGCCGAGCGGCATAGTTTCCTCATCACCACCATACCGATCAGCCAGCAAGCATCGCACGAACCCGGCATGGAACATGAAGATCATGAGGGTGAAGAGGATTTGGATGGCACACGCATACATTTGCATCATGCGCATTCACTATTCCCCTCGGTGCTTTGTTCGTCGGTGATGCAGATTGTTGGTTGCTTAGATGATGCGGCCATTGGCACTGATGGAAATGCTGTCTATGAAATTGCCTATCAGGTAGCCTCAGTGCGTATGCGCTAATAAATTCGAAATTCAAAATTGTAATGCTTCCTAGGCTATCTGGGTGTGTCTCGTCGAGGAGTCTGCACTCTTCTTACGCTACGTATTTGAACGGTTAACACGCGATCGTCAAGATCAAATGTTTAAATTGCTCCGGCATTTAATAAGATTTGTGCCGCGTTTGCCTCAACAGGCTGCCTTTGCGCTATACAACTCCATCATTGGTTACATTATGTTCTATGTGCGCTCATCAAATGAGCACAAACAAGAGGTATGTTGCGCATCTACTTCAGCCTCATTTACATGCTACTAATACATCTTTCATACGCTTCCTAGCTTGTCGGTTCAGCTCTTTCGGTGCTCTGGATGGTGGTCCACAGCGTACATGGCATTATGTTTAAGGATCTGAAGCAAATTCTACGCAAAGAACAATGCGACGCTTCTATTTTACTTACAGCAAATGTACCAGCGGCCAAGAAAATTGTCGTACATGGGCCAACCGATGACGATTGTAATATACCATCGCAATTTCCGGTGCAAGAGGACACACTGTTTTGTCAGTTGTTGAAAGAAGCTTTGGACTATTACCCGGTGGATGAAAAGAATTTAAATCATTACTGTTTAGTGGATTACAAAAGTAGTAAGTTCGAAGTAAAATGCGCAAGGCGTTACAGAAACCATATAAAATTTGTTGCTTGGCAAATCCACTTGCTTTGGGTACATTGATGTGCCTTAAGTAGCTGAACATTTGGGCGTAATCAGGGTAGCATTTACCACGGAGGAAAAAGTAGTCTAGGAATGGTCTTAGGGTTTTCCAGTTATTCAAAATAGCTCGCGGTATTTCTTCATAAGACATTCACCTGCAATACACATCTGGAAGTTGGTGTCAACAAACTATTGAGAAATTTCTTTATTTTCAATCAACTTTTTAGTCCAACATGGAGTCTATCTCCCAAAATGACCTATCGACAGTTCAATCGTTCATCGGTTTGGGCTGAGATCAAAAAAACTTGGCTAGTTGCCTCACTTCTTTGCGCAATTACTCCAAGTCTTTATACACTTAATCTTTTCCTTGAGTCCCTTGCTTTAGCTGACCACCTACGGTGAATAGTCGAAAGTTATTTTTAAAGAAGCGTCGTCGTCCAGCTCGTAGAGTTCGTTATTCCATCTTCTTTGGTGCTCGTCGCCCAAGCGGATAGGGTCCGTAGATCTAGCATAAAATACAATCCCTTTAGCCTTCTTCTCTTTGCTCGACATCGTCCACGTTTCTGAGAGAGTAGTGATTTGTAGAGCCAAAAAAGAATTTGTAGGCGTGAATTATTTTTCTTCTAATATCCAGGCTGACATTTTTTATGACTTCTATGCTGAAACTTAGCTATACAAGGTCCCTGCACTCACTCACTCTTTTTGTGTTGTCGTAAAGTTTCTATTCTGGTCCTCGTTCATCGCTAAACTAATCTAATTCGCCAGGTTCCCCAAGGTGTTCCGCCGTCTGGAATAATTTTCGATGAAGAGTTATTTGTTTTAAAAGGTCTGAGAGTTGTACACGAAATTTCTGAGCTGCCCCTAGTGACTGCAGTTTACCGAAGTCATACTTTTGTCGGTGACGCCAGACGTCAGCTCGTCTACAACGCAAGAAGCGTATCGTCTTTCTATCATAACGCGTTCAATTTGGTTTTCGGTTCTTTGTTCAAGGGACTCCCAAGGATGTTTCGATACCGCTGTCTGGTACTACTAACTAACTACCATGCTTCATACCGCGGCGGAGTCGATAAGCCTCCTTCCGTTGCGAGAGGTATTGCATTAGAGGCTAAATTTCCCGACTTAGGCTTTTTCCAGGCGCTCGTTGAACTGCTTTGGCTTCGTAGCTCTCCGCAAAACCTACACAGAAATTTTATTACCGTATAATATCTGTTGTTCTATATGTCACATGCTGCGTAATTCATGCAGCCATGTCCCGTCTGATTCGCCTTTTTCGTACTTCGGAGAGAGGTGAGCCTTATTTTTCCCAAGGACGTCCTGCAGTCGGACAGAAGCAGCATCGCTATAGAGGTACGGATATCTGGGTGTACATATATCCACAAATCGTATTCCTTGTTTTATTTGTGTTCCCCGTGACGTGTAGGCAAACCACTATCCGAGGCTTATCTCCCCTTTTCATTGGATTGGTCGATCAATAAAGAGTCGTGGGTGTCTGCAACCAGCATCAGTTATGCAGACCCCTCACAAATTAATGAAAGTAGAGAGTAGAAAAAGTACCGTTCTTATTAGCGCAGCTGGGAGTATTGCTTGATATTCCTACCATTCCGTCTTGCCTTATTCTCTAGTTTTACTTTGAAGCTTAGTAGTTGAGCCCTGAGAGCTTTCTAAAACCTTCGCTGGTGAAGTTCATTAGGGATCGTTTGGCTGCCTGTTCTATGCTAACTTGCAGTGGCGTGAGCTCTGAAATAACTTGCAATGCTGGTGTGGAGCAGGAGCGCATTGCGCGGTTGTTGCTTGATTAGTGACCTTTATCCACCCAACATTTCTTCCTAATTTTGAGTGTCCTCTGGATTATCATGCTAATATAACTACGTCGTCCGCGTAGCCTTGGCTTCGGATTCCATTGTCTGTGCAGGAATTCATCTACCACCAGGCTTCAAAGGAGGAGTGATAGTACTCCTCCCGTGGATTTTAACTCTTAAGAATTGTTCTCTATTGTGGTCTCGGTTATTCTTGTTCGTAACAGCTCCTCTATCCACCTACGGATACGCCTATTTTATCTTGTGTGTGACATACCACCTCAAGTGGGGTGTTGTCGAAAGCTCCTTGTACACCGAGAAAAGCGCAGAGACCGATGTCTACAGCGAATAAAACCGGAAGTGAGATCAACGACAAACATTTTCACAAAACTTCGTTTACTTGAAGACTCCACTCGTCCAGTCACACAGAGAGATTGGGTTTGCGTTCACATATCTATGGATGTCCAGTGTCTAAAGTAAGCTGTGATTAGTTGAAAATCTCTGTTTTAAAAAAATAGCTATTTTACCTAAAACCTACAATCATTAGATCTCAGTTTGGGAATAAATTAGATTTGGTTTGCGTCTGGAAATTATTCAATATTTTGGAAAGCTAAATACTGAATATGGTGAAAGTGATTGTCAAGGGATTCGAAAATTGGTTTATTGAACCTGTTTGAATGTGTATGTACGTCGCAATAATTTGTAGTTTTTCAGCGCTAAAAATTTTACTAATTTTAAAAACACCAACTTTCCCTCCATGCAGACAAAATCCTCAATCCCAATTGGTACATACGTGACTTGTACTTCTTTAAACGCTCTCAATATCCAGAAGTTCGTTTGATACTTATGAAACCCGAGGTCTCTTTCTTGGCCTTACAAAAGCAAGAACTAACAAAAAAGTTCGTTGAAATCGGCAAGGTACATCTGACATGGGCAATTTTGAAGAATGTAGATATGGTGGTGCAGCGCGTTGTATTCTTGCATGAGGAACTCATGAAACTACCCTCCTTCCCACGCAAGGCACTCGAAGTGGATTTGGATTTACATCAAAGTGGCGAGTATGGCAAGGTATGGGAAATATTTATATTTTTTTTTTATAGTTCAAGCACCGATCTATGACCGTACATACATCTTTGAATTTCATGCTACGCTTTTAGGTGCTACTTGGACTCGATGTGCTGCATAAATTCATGTGGGTGCGTCTAATTGCGCGCATGTTTGAAGCGATGGCCGGCAATTTCGCCTACTCCGCTGACATACAACTCTTTCTGAATGTGCTATCCGGTGCGGCGATTTTACATGCTGAAGATTCTTGCATTATGCGTTATGTCATGGCCACCTATATAAATGCTGCCTTCAATTTTAAGAATATATTTTCAACGAATGGTTACTTCATGATTATGCCAACACTATTGCAAGTCTATTCGCTGCATCAAACTAATAAATTGATAACCACCACAATTGAGTACGCAGTCAAACAATTCTATTTGCTCAATCGTAAGCCGTTCATATTGCAAATGTTCGGTTCGGTTTCGGCGATACTCGATACGGACGAGGATGGCACGTACGGGGAGGCACATAAGGTAAGGGGGGAATTTGTTTATTGAACAAATAGGAGTAGATATGACGTGCGCTAATGGATGATGAGCATTAGGTAGGAAGTTTAAAACGAGCCTGTGGAGGAGACCTTTTATAGCGAATACTTAGTTAGTCCAAGAAACGTGCGTTTTGACATGTTATCTACTGTGGTCTACTGTGCCTCTCAGCCTCATCTCTTCACAAAACTTCTTTTAAACCTAGATCCCTCACGAGGTTCAACAGCTTTCGGGGGAAAGGGAGTGAATATACTTAAGCTGTGACCACATTAAGCCTAGACTTATCTCACGTCTTCTACAGACTGCATCACATTCGATGAGAACGTGTAGTGGTGACTCGCTGGTAGAGTCCCAGAGCCCGTCTGCAGTGTCCTGTTAGGATACCTGTTAGTTTTCTAAGTTGGTCTTTTGTAAGGTTTATTAAGCTTTGGAATCTTCTCTTGTTATACCCTCCCAGTAAGCTCTTTGCTTTACGTTTCCTACCAAACTATGGCTCAGGGCCAACTGGAGTGATAGCTGCCTCCTCTCATGCGAGGCAGTCCATCACCTCGTTACCGTCTTTGCCACTATGGCCAAGTACCAGGGTAGCCAACTCCTTTTTGAGAATTAGCCGATTTCGACAATGAAATTCCTCCGATTTCGCCGGAAATTTCGTAAAACTCCGTACCCATGGATATCTTTTTATTTACGAAAAAAAAATAAAAATTTGTAGGTATTTTGAAATATTAGGAGTGTTCGCTAGGCAACTGCCAGTAAGAATTAGCCAGTAATAAAATTCAGAGAATAAGGTGTCTTACTCTCCCAAAGAGAAAAACTTACTGAGTTTTGCGCGAACTGGAATTAGCAAACATTTGCAAGCTTCACTGCCAGCTGGCGTCCATGGTTGCATTTCGAACATAATAAATTTTTTAAATTCTTTCAGATGGAAAACAAAACAGCACCTTATTCTGACTTTCTTCAAAATACGCTTCAATTTCTTTGTGGAAGTCACTGTCGGATTTCCTATATCGACAGTGGTGTCGACTGCGTTCCGATTACGAATACAGCTTTTTCAGCCGAATACCTTTCAAATGTTGGGAATTAATTAAATTAAGTGAATAAATATATATTTACATACTTCTTTCATTAGTAAATCACAACAAGTTTGTTGCTTTAAATTTAACGAACTTGTTGATTCAAATTAGTGTGCCACAATCCTGCGTATAAAGCCAAGTTTCAAACTTTGTGTAATATTAAAAAAAAATTCTATAAACTTTCGTAAAAATTTCGAGCGATTTTCGAATCGTAACTGTCGTGAACGAGCAACTCGTCATGTAAAAATGCATATTTTGGATTACAACAGACGTGAACGTACTGATTGTCTCGTAATTCGGTATACGAGACAATCAATGCGTTTACGACTGTTATAATCCGAAACATGCATTTTTACTACCTTTACGATTAGAACCCAGTAGTTTTAGTTGCAGCTGCATTTCTTATGCGCCTTTTTTAACTCATTATGATATTACACAATCACAAAACGCAGTTCATCTCCCATTTCTGCACGTAAACTGAAATTCCCCACAAAAAACAGCCCATTCTCCGATTCCCCACGCATACTCAAATTCCCCGCAAATCGGGGAATTCCCGAGTTGGCTTCGCTGCCGGGTACTCACGCTAGTTGAATGTTATTGTGTCTGCGGTGGAAATTGAGCTTATCAATGCACCCAAGTAGCAAAGATGATTTGATTTCATAAGCTAAGAGACCCTGGAGTGCCGCCTGGCTGTCAGAATTATAATACTTTCCTTGCGGGACCCTCTATTTATGATTGTCTCCGCACAAAGACAGATGACGCAAACTGCCCCTTAGAAGACGCTCGGATATTTCCCCATTGGGACAGAGTCCAGAGTCCAAAGATTCCACCGAATGTACCAGTGCATGATGCCACAGGAGTCCCTCGAAGACGGAGACGCTCCGGGTTGCTTTGCTGCATAGCTCTATTTCAGACCTCTTCCCAAAAACTATGGCTTTACCTGGGTCATCTCTAGGGAAAAGAGCTATCGGAAGCGGGAGCGCTAGCTGCTTCAAAATACAAGACCCCTCTGTAGCAAAGCCAAGCAGAGTTATTTTGGCAAGCTGCTCAATGGTTATATAGAACAGGTTGAAGTCTATACGAACTGACGAAATAATTCCAGAGGTTCAGCATTCACAGGGACTCAGTCTCGAGTTATGGAGACTCTAGACCTGTAAGTGCCGCTTTAGGCAAACAACCACCGGACATTGACGTGACGGAGCTTCATCTGCCTCGGGAGATAAGAACCACAATAGCCCAACTTCGCTCTGGCTACTGCAGCAGGTTAAACTCATACCTGAGTAGACTAAACGCGGATGTGCCAAATAAGTGTCCGGCATGCGGAGAGACCCCTCACGACTCGAAACATCTCTTCGCATGCCCGGAAAACCCGACAACCCTAACGGCTTTGTCTCTGTTGTCCGGCCCTGTAGAGGCTGCACGCTTCTTAGGGCTGCCGTTAGTGGAACTCGACGACAACGACTGAGATATCAACCGATCTGGGCGGGGTTGTTGTAGCCGATTGCTGTAAAGAAGCTAGGAAGATTGGAGAGATAGCCGCTTGCTTTCGAGCACAGGTCATCAATAACATTTCTAGATGCCAACAGCAGCGTCAAAGATCAAATAAACTCTCTCAAGTGGCTTGCGGATCTTCGATAAGTAAAATTAACATACACTGCAGGGGATAGGAGAGACATGGGGCGATAGGACTGTACTTTGTTAGCAAGTTTCCTCAGCTTATGTAGTGGAAACTCTATCCTTTATTTCCACAAATCAGTAATGTTTCTCCAAGAATGATAAACGATTTCAAGAGCTCGCTGAACTAGGCAAGTTTGGAAGGTATCCAACAGGTGGAAAAACGAGGGATTGAGGGGGCCCTGTTTCATGTGGACATTGTTATGAACTGTTAAGCAGGTAGAACATTTTATACGAATTCTTAAATTTAACTGACATGCCCGCTTACATACTTGCATAGATATGTATGTATATGTAAATATATCTACATTTATATTCTCTACAAATATTTCAGGTGCAATCGAGTTGCTTATTTAACTTACTACTTAGTTTGGAGGACCCCTCGCCCGATCCATTAAATATCGCCGAACTGGTAAAGGAGCCCAAGCCGCTAAAAGCTATAGATTTTTGCTATCATGACGAAGATGGTGACGTCACTGTGTTGGATTGCATCACCTTATGCGTTATGGTGGTTTCTTACTCTGCCGAGAGCACACGCGGCTATCAAATGCTGGTTGGCAGCTGATATTATCGACTGTCTTTCGGAGACATTATTAATAACCATCCTTTCTAGATCATTCTTGAGGCTATACTACCATGCTATTTACAACAAATCCAATCGCCCAGCTACATTCCGTTACAAGGCAAATCGGAGCGTGACATCATTTTACAGTTGGCTGTCGCCATACGAACTATGGTCCACAATTGTGAGGGTCTGGCGAAGAGTTACAATGGTCCATATCGTAATAGCCCAGAACACAAGGGCTCATCGCAACGCAATTGTAGTCGCGGTCCACCTTGTTCGCCCGGTCTTGACTTCGAGGAGGAATCGCACTCGAAATATGTTAACGATCCACGCACAAAGAACATAATGGATTCTGGTGAAGATTCCGAAATGATACGCACAGAGTATCGACGACCTCGTGACGTGCTGCTTTCAGTAGTCGGCGATTTCCTCAGCAAATCAAGCACGCGTTTGTTGGAATTGTCAAAGAAGCTGCCGAACGATAACAAAACCACAGAGGTGTTGGATGCCAAATGCCATATGCGTTTAGCAGAAATCGCGCATTCGCTGCTGAAAGTCTCACCCTACGATCCCGAGTCCATGGCATGCCGTGGATTACAGCGCTATATGCAGGCCATTTTGCCACGTGCTGAATGGTCGAATGATGCGCTACGCAACTCACTAATCACCATACTGCGACGTGTGGACAAAGTATTTTTGAAAATATCCAAGAAACCTTCGATACGACGCAACACCGACTGGGAGGCAGCTGCCGGTTTGCTTAAGGGTATACATGAAACGATCGTGCGACATCCGTATGTACTGCACTGGCAACAGATGAAAACGCTCGTCAGCACAGTGCAAAATCTAATTGTGAACGAAGGCACTAGCGCCGGTGAGGGTGTGTCAAGCGCAGGTGCTGCTCTCATGTCTCAGAATCCTCCGGCCTTCTTTTGCTCGACGGTGGTGCGACTGGTAGCACTGCAAGTGGTCAGCCCGGTGGATTGTTTCTCGTTGGTGCAGATTTGTGGTGGCAGTGAATTCGCTACGCAGGAGAAGGCCGAAGGTTTTCTAATGCATTTGATTATGCCACTGTGCTTGAAGGTATGCTCGGGGCGTGGTGTCTCCGATATTGGTGAGCTCAAGATGACTGATGTCACGTTTCTGTTGACGGTGGTGCTGAATGCCATGAGCCCACCGGCGGGTCGCACCGGACAAGCAGTGATACAGACCAATCGGGTAGGTGGTGATTTACGCGCTGGCTCGCTAACTTTTACTGGCAGTCGTGATGCTAAACGGCCCGCACGCATTTCGGGATCGCTTTATCAGGCCGCCTTTCTGGCGCTCCGCATTGTGTGTATTTGCTTCGAGAATCGCTTGTCTAATGAATGGCCGCGAATAGTGCGCGTAATGCGGGATTTGGGTAGACGAAATGAGGCAGCGCCGGATTTGTGGAGCTTCCTTGAATTTGTGGTGACACATAGAACACCACTGTACATTGCGTTGATGTCGTTCATTTTGCATAAAGTATGTAACAGTGCGTTTGGAATACAGATTTGTTAATACTTAAGTATCATTAATGATGTCGTTTAAATCTCATCATTCACAGATTTCTCAACCACCGATTGGCGATCATGAACGGCATATGCAATTTATAATTCGAGAGCGACTGCGCGGCACCCCACCACAGGGCGGTATAAAATCGAAAGGCGCACTTCTGCTGGAATTGGCCAGAGAACTGAAAGATTTGAGAGATGAACTTGAAGAGAAGCGTTACGGTATGTAGGTATAGTATTCTCCATTGCTTAAATCGATTATCCTTTTATTTCATTAGATCGTGAGTGCTCCGATCAGAAGAAAACTGATACGCCCGCCGCAACGAGCGCAGCCGAAACACATAAATCTCAGCAGCGCCCATCACTCATATCAATATTTACCGGCACTACCACCGGTCAAGCGACGCACTCTCACGTGTCAGCTGTTCCTATAGATTCACGAAGCGGTTCAGGTGGCATTTGTACTCCCAGCGACACGCTCTCTCAACAAACACTGCACCCTCCCAGAGAGTCGCTATCGAGCAGCTCTACGGGCCGTGATCACCATACAAGTGAAAGCCAGAGCGGCGAAAACGCTGCTGGTTCTGCGCCCACACTAGCTGGCGCTGCGGGTACCACAACTACTGGATCTA